GCTTTGAGCTCACTACTATAGTATCGATTCTAAGCTCAAGTTCTGACATGGTATCAGAGCAGCTCAACCGCATACGCGGATCGTGATCCTCTCATCTCTGCGGATACTTGTCCCGCAAACCTCGGGGAAGCCATCGCCAATCTCGTCGCCGTTGATTCGCGACATTCATCGGCGGAATTTCTCCCGCCACATCTTCCCGTCACCATCGACGGAAACTTCTCTGGTAAGCGCATCGTCGGCGCTCTAACCTAACACTCGTTTTCATCAATTCGTCACTCTCGTCACGTCTTCTCCTCGTCGGGGCCGCCGCCCGTCGCCCTGCAGCTTCTCGTCGCGCCGCCGCTCGTCGCCCTGCAGCTTCTCTTCGGGCTGCCGCCCGTCGCCCTGCAGCTTCTTGTCGGGCCGCCGCCCGTCGCCCCGCAGCGTCATCTTCGGGATGCCGCCCGTTCGCCCCGCATCTGCACTCCTACCCCCATCCCCCCTCTTTCCCGCAGCTGAACAGGTGCAGCAACGCAGCCGAGCAGCAGCGTAGCCGCGAAGCCGAGCAGCCGTGTAGCCGCAAAGCCGAGCAGCAGCGTAGCCGCGAAGCTGAGGGTGGTGTGTGGGGGGGTGTGTGGGAATAGGATTAGTAGGTAGTTGACACCAAATTGGCGTCTCAGTCAAATTCTCCTTCAGAAACCCTAAACCTCCGGTTCTTCAAAATCTCCTTTGGAAACCCCAAACCTCAAGTTCCTATCGGTGACTTAAGAGCGGCGCTCCGCGCGAGAAGTTAAGGGGTCTCCACCATGGCTTTCTCGTCTTCCACCATGGCGAACCCCATCACCCCGCTCCGCCTTGAAGCCGATGGCTCTAGCTCCAACTTCAAGGCGTGGAGCTACGGAGTTGACAAGCACCTCCTGAGCCGTGACGTGCAGGGCCTTGACCTCAAGGACGTCCTCCTCAACCGTGGCAAGGGGAAACAGCCCACTCTTCCCCGTGAACCGACCGAATCTTCAAGTGATGCTGACGTGATGACGTACGAAGAAGCTGTTGAGAAGTACCGGAAGTGGGAGAAGGCCGATGCTGCCATCATCAGCGTCTTCATTGCCTCCACCCCTCCCGAACTTGTCAACACGTTCCACAACTACCCTACCTCCAACGCCATCTGGAAGTATCTCCAGGATCGGTTCATGAACAAGACGGCGGTCGGAGTGGCGATTCTCATCCCCAGCATGTTTCAAGTCCGTCTTGAGGACTGCTCAGGAATGGCTGACTACATCGCCAAGGTGCAGACCATTCATGGTGAACTCAAGGAGCTGGGTATAGTCTTCCCCGAACAAGCCCCTGCAGCCGCCCTTCTTGTTGGTCTCTCCTCGGCATATGAAGTCACGAGGAAGATGCTCCTCACGCTCTCAGCGGAAGACCTCACCTTTGCTAAGGTCTCCACCGCACTCCTCTCTGCCGAGAAAGACTCCACGGCTCAGGCCAAGGCATACGCCATCCGTGCTCCCATGCCCCCAGCAAGTGTTGCAGCGGCCCTTGCCTCGGCGCCTTTCCAGCGCAACCGCTTTCCTCCGTGCACCTACGTCGTCAAGTATGGCAACCGCAAGGGACAAGTGTGTGGTGGCACTAACCACCCCCTTGCCACGTGCTTCAAGAAGAAAGACGACGAGTGGTATGCCATCCACGGGGTTGACAAGAAGCCGCCAAACTGGATGCGCGCTCGTAAGGCCAATCTCGTTGAGGTCCAGGACCCCTCTTCGCCTAGTGCTAGTGATAGTGCTCCTGTTGATGTGCGTATCAACCTGTTGTTTCCTGGCACTGCCATGATTAATCAAGCCACTTCCCAGTACATCGACTCATCACAGGCACCACAGTACATAGAGTTCACACTCGACAGCGGGGCCACTCACACTGTGCTCAAGGAGACACTCTCCTTCAAACCCTATCCAGCACCTATCCCTCTCTTGGGAGCTGACTCCAGCTTCACCACCCTAGGTGACTCCACTTAAGAGCTTAGCGATTGACACGACAAGTGGCGGACATAGCCGATCACTGTTGCAAAGGCTTATGGGTTTGCATGCGGGTGCACCAACGAAAGTACCTGGAGGCCTATGGGAAGGTTCCACACCAAGACGAAGCTGAATCGGTAGTAGTTAACTAATTGGTGGCAGCCTGTTGCTTCCCCATTACTATACTCAACACTGTGATTGTAGATGCAGCTGCACTGATTCTCTAAATGTGATACAACAAGGTGTTGGGCATAAGCTGGGTCCCTAGTTCATGGAAGAGATTTCCCTATGGGACAGTGCCTTCGTTTGGTTTAGTCTGCTGGAGGAAAAGATAACGAACTGAAAAAGAGAGAACATGATCCTTATAAAAAATCACTACCATACCCGATGAGAGAGTTTGAACATATTGTGTGGCATCAAGAATACAGAATTGAAACAATTACTTCTTAGATGGACTATTGTCGGGTTATTCTAGCCAGCGTTGTGTAGTCGTCTTTCTAGGGCGTACTTGAAGATGTGCATAACGCACCAGGATTAATGTCAAACATGTGCGCAGGACAGTCCCAGCCAGGTTTTCCGCGTGGGTCGTCGTTCCTTCGGTCAACATTCATATTCTGTTTTGTTCGCCTGAGACCTGCACATCCAGGACACTGTAGTGTTATCTGTTTGCACATGCCTTGTGCTGCTGTTGGAAGTAAACGAATGCGCGTACATCGCCCTAGCGATTACAGCTCGTCGTAAAACTTTCGTGAGTACAAGTTCTCTCGTCACTCGGCCACACCCGTTGCATCTGCTTGGTCTTCGGGTCCACCTGTTTTTCATTCTCAGTTTCCTCCTGTCGAATTCTTATTCCCCGTCCATGGCGGCAATGCAAATACGAAAGGTGACAGTGCAAATACGTCGATAAAGACCAACTAGCGTCCTAAGAAGGTTACGAAATCATGTTCAGAAGATGATTAGCCACAGAATGGGTAAACTGTACATCTGAAAGATTATCAGTCAAAAATAGTGCTGTAAGGAAACACCCTAGCACGAAGTTTCATGCCTGGTCGTGAGCGGGATAGCCATGAAATCACGCCATGGGAAAAGACGACCAACAGCAGCCTGCGCTGACGTTCCATCTTCGCTCCCGCATTCCAGGTCGGGAAACGCCATGATCGTGAAATTTCTTGTGTAGACTTTAAACACTCGAAAGTCCTGAACACTTCAATGACACTTTTCCCACCAGCTTTTCAGTTCTCTGCCTCTCCGTCCAGCTGAGGTCAGACACCCAGTCCCACCCATTGCCGGCTCCTGGAAAAGAGGCACCAACGGTCAATTTGGGCTCGTATCACAGACCTCAGGTCTAGCACAGCTGACACGACGCTGACACGACCTCAGTCCTGAAGTTTGTGCGTATGGGGAGGGAAATGGATGACAATGATCCGAAATGGGTCTCGGCTTGGCAAAAAACAGAGTACCCTGAAAATGATCAAAGGCTGCTCCGCCAACCCCTTCAAGGGATTCGTTTTCCACTCTTGGAGTGACGTTGCCAATGCCCAGTCAAGCCCTTGACAGATCCCCATTCAATGAAAGAGTTCGCATGACTTTTGTCATCGAGCGTGAAGTCAAGCCAATCTGATCCGACGTGGCTCATCTGACGTGAATAACCTTCCCTCAACCCACTCCACTGCTGAGACACTTTCTCAGAGATCGTACGAACAAACAAGTTCGACCCGATTCGCAAATCCGCGATGCGTTGATGCTCAAAGTCAATGTTCTTACTGTACTTTCTTGAATGGAACCCAAGGCACCAGACACCCCATAAAGCTTTCTTGCTGGGTAGTAGTACTACTACTAGTACTAGTCGTTCACCAGTCAGTGTCACTGGACAGTCCTACGCCATCCTGTTCCGCAAGGAGGCTCCAGCACTTCCTTGTTCCAAGTCTGAAAGCCAAGCATGAAAACACGCGGCTATGCGGGCTGTTTCGCCATTGGCAGAAGAGCCGCGGGAGCGACATCGTGGCTACTGCTTTTGTCCGCTGCGGTGCTTCTGGGAGCACCTTCTCCGACGGTACTAGCAAAGCATCCTGACGAGGACAAACCTCACGGCCCTTGACACAACCCCGCGGATGTTGGAAGATGTGCAACAGGCTTAAGCTGGGGTACTACATAAATAAACCAAAAGACACGAGGGCGTCGGGACCGCACCACATTCTCGGGAACTACAACTATGAGCGCTACGTTCTCGACCCTGCGGCCGCAAACGTCGTAGGCTCCTTGGATTCAACCGGGGTAATAATTGATTAAGCCCCAATATCGCAGGCTGCGTTCCGTCATGCCTTCCGTCGTGCCTTCCGTCATTTATTGTCCATCGCCAATATCGCATGGCTGCGTTTTCTCCGTTGACTTTGAGCAAGGGCTGCTCGGCGGCGCATCACTACAGTTCAATGAGAACGCGAGAAAGGTGGAGAGGCTGTGTACCTTCTGTTTTAACTTGCCCCCGTATTTTCCCGTCTCTCCTCTTTGGCAGTTTGTGGATTGCTGTCAGAAGTGCGCCAAGAAGGTGGGCTGCAGGTTCTGGCATTTGAAACCTTCAATGAATGGCGAGATGTAAGCATCAGTGCCACTGATATTCGTTATCCTTGTCATGAAAAAGCTTTGAATGAAGTACTTGCCCTCACTCCGTGTAGCAAGCTTCTTTCCTTCAGTTCAGAATGCTTTTCACCGTGTGTGACTTTGTCAACGCCTCCGCTTCCCATCTCTTATAACCGCCGGCTAACTTCCTATCCCCCTCCCCGTGACACCACTGGCAGTGGCCAATGCACGTTGCTGGGCTCATTGGCAGGCATTACCGTGCGGAACTGGGACATACCCATCCTCCCAACGTTCCTGGGTGGCGAGTGCAACCCCCTTGCCAACACGGACGACGATCCGCATTTCCGGGGCGCAGACGGCACCCAATACGACTTCAACGGCCTTCTCGACCGCTCCTTTTGCTTGGTTTCCGACCGTCGGATCCACATCAACATGGGAATCAAGGGCTACCAGCCCATCGCGAATCTCCCCGGCACGGCGACATCATTGGACGAAGAGTCGCTCGCTGCAGCGGTGGAAGCGGCGGCCAATGAGAAGAAGCCACGTCATATCAGGCAGCTGGAACAAGAACGGCTGAGCGTGGAGGAACTGAGCGAGCTGGAGAGAATGCGGGCCAATGGGAGCCTGCCGTGGACTGATGAGGTGGTGGCGGCGCTTGACAGGGAGACGGGTCGTCGCAGCGGCGAAGATGGCGCCAGGGGTGGAGGGGAAGAGAAGGAGCAATATTCGATTCAGTATGCGAAGCATGAGCTGAAGGCGAGGCTTCTGAAAGAAAAGCCGATTCGCAGCTGGATCAGGTGTGCGACACTGTGATTGTAGATGATGCGCATGCGCCATAATGTACTCGTAGCCATTCTGGGTAGCATGCGCCGTGTTTGTAGTAGACTGCACGAGTCGTTACGAGCCTCACCTTTTCTTCATGGCTGCACAACCCTTTATGCTTTGTGCCTTCCAGGGAGCTTCAAGTGATGTGGCGCGATGATACTGGCGCGCATCACTCAGCGTTCATTAAGGCGCGCGACGGCAAGGAGCAAGGGAGGGGCAGCAGCGGGTTCATCGACCGACTGGAGCTCGACGGCTCGCCGGTGGCCCCGCCTCTGTCCGAAGGATCTTTCGTTGCTGGCAGCGGCGGGTTCAAGCTGCTTCTGGCGGAGACGCGGAGCTGCAAGGGGAAGGACGAGGATGAGTTTCATCTCACGATCGACGGCCTGGTGGACATGGGCATCTTAGCGCGTTTGGCGCATCCACTCATGCAGACGGCTACGGAGGCCCAGGCGCATTTCAATGTGCACATCGCCCGACTCAATGTGAGCAACATTCTGATTGTTTGCTATGTGTTGGCTGTGCTTTGCCTGGGCGGTGCTGCCATGATAGCTGTCCTGGTACAGTACCGTTTTTGTCATTTTGTCCCATGCAACGTCTTCCCTTCACCCTCTCCCCCCCTCTCCCCCTTCCTGTCGTTCCCTCTCTCTCCCCCGTGTGGCAGCACACAAGCGGCATTCACGGCGTGCTGGGTCAGACCTTCACCCATCTCCCCCCTTCCTGTCGTTCCCTCCTTCCCTCTTCATTTCTACAGCACACGAGCGGCATTCACGGCGTGCTGGGTCAGACCTTCCGAGCCGAGGAATCCCGCAAGGTGCGCTCGCTGCGGTACCGCCTGCTGACCCGCCTGCTGCGCGAGCCGGTGGAGGTGGAGAGTGAGAGTGGCAGGGGATTCCTGGATGGGCGCACGGAGGACTACATCACCTCGGATATTCACTCCGCGGATTGCATGTATGCCGCTGCGTGGCGTAGGGGGGGAACACGAAAGCAGCGATGGAAGCGATGTCATGTGACAAGTTTGTGTGAAGCAGTGCTGCAGAGTCTCTTTTTGGGGTGGTGGGGGTTTTTATCTCCTTTAACACTGGTCAGATATATACAGATACCTAGAGAATCTAAATAAGAAGCCATAATGGCTTGTAAATTGTGTGTACCATGTTGTATTTCATGACTGGAATTTTATTGCATACTTTCATAACTTGAATAGTAAGAACAAAAATATGTATTGTGAAATGTTTGTGCGTGCATATATGTGTGTGTGTGTGTGTGTGTGTGTGTGTGTGTGTGTGTGTGTGTGTGTGTGTGTGTGTGTGTGTGTGTGTGTGTGTGTGTGTGTGTGTGTGTGTGTGGTGCGTGCGTGCGTGCGTGCGTGTGTGTGTGTCTGTGTGTGGGTGTGTGCGTGCGTGTGCGTGCGCGCGCCCTTTTCTTTGTCCTCCCACAATACTGAAAACCAGACGTGATTGAGAGCCACTTCATATCAGCACACATTTGATTTTTCCTTTGCACCTCAAGAGTACATTGCTCATAACTATTCACTCTCTTCATATCACTCTCTCCTCATCCTAAGTATGTTTATTGGCATTAGGCATAACATAATATTTATCCCTTGCTAGTCACCACTGACTATGCTGATGCGATTCGGCTTAGAATACTAGTTTTTCTTAACATCATTGGATGTACAAGCTCTTTGAACATCAGCATCCTCTCGACCAGCGCCGGCAAATTTAGGTACACGAACTGTCCCATTGTCCAGCAGCATCACCTTGTGGTGGTGCAGGATGCTTTGGAGGCAATGAGCGATGGTGATCGCCAATACTCCCGGATAAGACCACCGGGTCTTGTGGCACCAAGAACACAAGTCCCACAACCTGATCACTTCCGTCATGCACTCGGTCTATTCGATATAGTACCATGATTACTGTTGTCGTTCTGCTGCCTATGCACTTGCACAACAACATTTAGGTTTCCACCGAGATTAAGAAGAACGTGTTTTTGTAGCACACAGAGCAACTCCGATTGGTAACCATTGCCCCTTTATGTCCTCAGCTCACTGGCACGCAGTGAGTGTCTGGTGCTCAGCAATGCCGTTCGTGACGACCCTGATTTTGTGCGAGAGCGTGCGATGAACAAGCAAGCGATTGAAGTGGTGATCCGGATGTAACTGCGACGAAGACGTCGGAGATGCTGCGGGAGCTGATGGTGGTTTACCAGCTACAGAACTGGATGCAGTTAGCATTCAAGGATGGTGTCTGCTTCCACCGTGTTCTACACCTTGTCACCAGAGCTGATACTGATGTCATCAAAGGTCTTGTGATCCCTCAACCCGGCGATAGATACCGCTGGCGCCATGTTTTTTTAGGATCCTCTGGAGATCGGCCGTCGCTTCTTGGTCCACTTTCCTTCGCTCTCTTGCCGGCTCTATGGTGGACAGCAATATGACGTCAATCATGATGCTTTCCCTACGGAGCGGCAAAACAACATAGGGAAGTGGAACCTTACCTTGGGGAGGGTTCATCGTATTAATGGTAACTGCTTTTCTCTGTATGATCATGCTTACCACTGTGCTTGCTCTTGTGCTAACCGCCAAGTTTTACCGTGCAGCTACATCCCTTTCGGCTTCACCGCTGATAACTCCTATCCTATAGGACCCATTCATGGTGCTGATCTCCACTGGAGGGGACCAGGAGGAGTGGATCTGCACGCTAGTGGGTTGTGAGAAGGCGAAGGGGGGAAACTTCATGAATGCGGCAGAACATGTCACCTCCGCAAATCACCTCATTCATCTGGAGAAGCTCGGATCTGCGACTCGTGCCTCGCTTGAGAAAGCAATTCTCAACGTCACGACGAAGGAGTATGGGCTCTGAGGCAAGAGCAGCTCGGTAGACAGGATGTAGCAGCAGCAGTAGCCCTTTCAGTAGTCGGTGCTGTTCTCTTCTTTACTCTGTGGATGCGTAGGGGTTCTCAAGTTGCTATTATATGAGTAAAAGAAGCCTTATCAGCTTCGCAGACCTTAACATCAACGGCTAGGAGATAAGACCAAACAGCAGCGTGTCCTCGACAGGTCCAGACAAGCAGCAGACATTATTGTCCTCTCTGGCACTGGGATAGCTTCCGATCACCCGTATGGTCCCACCCAACTTACAGCTTAGCAGTAGCAACCTCACCTAGGTCGAAGGCTGGCGGTCGCCTTTACTTAGCTTCTCCAGCGTGTTAATCCATTGGGTCTGGTAGATAAGTTTCCGCTAAGATCCATGGTCTTGGGCTGTAGCTTACCATCATAGCTTGTTACCTCCCGGCCAATGCGACTTCCCGTGCAACTTTTCTCCGTGACTCCCTCGGTCCGGACGTAGACTCGATCCCGCCATCCAATCACCTGCTCATCATCGGCGATCTTAACATTATAGAGGACCCGATATTAAATAAATCATCGTGCATAGGTTCTACTGCAGAAAACGATAGGCTCCTCACCCGCTGCACTAACTTCCAGCTCTCAGTCGCTTTCCGTACGCTTTATCTAAGAAAGCAAGAGTTTACCTTTTTCCCAGGCCAAGCAAGCCAACACGCGCATTGATTGGGCTCTCATCTCTCACTCTCTCCTACCTCACCTAATCCAGGCTTCTCATGTGATGCCGGAGGACTATAGATCATATCACAACTTTGCAATCCGGGTGGCCCTTTGGATTGACGCCAAGCTCTGCATCGGTCCCGGCCTCTGGAGACTTCACGCATCAATGGTCCACAAGCATGGGGTTCGACGGATTGTGGAAGCGATGGTAGCGAAGTGTGCTGTCACGAACGGTAGCAGTTTCGAGCTGCTTCTTTCGAGGTTGGCAGTTGGGCTTCGTGCATTTGCAAAGGAGGAAGGCAAGCGGGTGAAGGCGACGGTGACTCATCTGGCTGATGAGGTTGTGGAGCTTCGTCAGGAAATGATGCGGGATCCGTCCTGCAAGGCAACAAGTGCACGGTTAGTAGTGAAGGAGGCGCAACTGCGAGAAATACTAGGCGTCAAGAAAGGACAAGCTGCTACTGATGTCCGGTATGTGGTTGGAACTCTGAGGGGAAGTGGCATCACAGCACCTGACGGCAATGGTCCAGGCTAGGAAGACGAGTACCCAGATTGCGGAGTTGCAGACAGCGGCACGTGTCGTCTCCACTTTGCAAGATATTCTTCGTGCGGTGTCTGACTTTTTCGCGGGAAATCTTCGGACGACACCAGTGTCAGCTGGAAGACGACTTGCGTCCTGCGCAGGGAACGACGCTGAGGGTCTGGGAAGCATATGAACTGGCAGCAGACTGGACGGAAGAGGAGGTGAAAAAGGCCTTCAGTGCGATGGCAGAAAACAAGTCCTCGGGAAAGATGGTCTACCGAAGGAGCTATTTGAAGCCACTGGGACCTGCTGGGGTAAGGGCTTCATGGCCTTAGCCAAGGATTTTCCTTCATCAGCAGTTCTCTCAGCGGAAGTAAAAGAGGCAGTTAAAATACTGCTTCACAAGAAGGGGGATAACTCAGGAAGGCACCTGACGGATGCGGTGGGGCTTGTCGCTGACATTTTGAGACGGCGCGGAATGATAATGAGTATTGGTTCCTCCTCTTGGTCGACTTCAAAAAAGTGCTTGACTCTGTTTTCCCGCGGCCACCTCTTCTGGACGTTTGCGGGCGATGGGCTTCCCTGATTGATTGGTGCGCTGGGTGGAAGGCCTGCATGCGGGAACGCAGACATGGTTGTTAGTTAATGGCTGGATGGGAGAAGGCGTGGAGGTGGTCTCCGGGGTCCGGCAGGGCTGCCCCCTCGCCCTGTACCTGTTTTTGTGCGCGGTTGAGCCGCTGGCGCAAATGGTTCTGAAGCGGAAGTTGAGCATCAGCAAGGCGAGCGAGTGGTTTGTGTGAAAGAACAAGGAATGATTGCATTGAACAGCATGAGGAGTACAAGTAGGAAACCCTAAAGTGTTGTACCCCATATGAGCTACCCCACTACAGCCTACACAGACTATAGCATGACGGACCTAGTGGAATCCCTTCAAGACGTGGCGCTTATACGTGCTGAGGAAGAGCGAAGGGAGGCGCTGCCGGACAACTTCAGCAACGACAAACCTGCTATATTGAACGCAACCGGGGCTGGGAAAATCATTCGGAGCATGCTTCCATTGTGGGAAGAAAGGGCACAAGGCTGCAGACTGCTACTCCAACCCAAGAAGCAAGAATTTCAAAGGAAAGGCAACAGGGACAAGCGGAGAAGGACAGCGACTTCGAGGCGGATTTGCTGGAAACTGCAACCACTGCGGGAAATTTGGGCACAAAGCAATCGACTGCTACAGCAACCCGATGAGCAAGAGCTTCAGGGGAGGGCAAGCAGCAGCAAAACAATCACGTACCTGCAAAGATCAACGCCACCGAAGCGGAAACCAGCGACGACGACGTCATCCTCGGGGGAGCCCACAAGGCCAATGTTGCAAGAGCTTCGGGAGCATGCCTGCTTGCAAAGGGCCTTAAGGGGAAGGAGTGGTACATGGACAGCGGTTGTACCAACACATGACGAACCAAAAGGAGTGGCTGAAAAAATTCAGAGCATCACCGATACCGTATGTGCTGTTGGGAGACGAGGGGAAACTTCCTGTGAAAGGGGAAGGAGACCTAGTGCTGCAAAGTGCTTATGGTGAGGTGAAGCTGGAAAACGGGCTGCTGGTGGACAAGCTCACACTCAACCTCATAAGCCTAGTCGCAGTTAGACAGTGGTGGGTGCAAGACTTTTCGTGACAACGGCAGCATATGGGTGTTCGGTTCGGATTGGAAGGTGATAGCGGAGGGATCACGCAAGCAGGGGTTGTACGAGATGAAGCTTCACGAGAAACAGAGTGGGGAGAAGACCACGTACCTGGCTGAACCGGAAGCGGAAAGGTAGCACGAGAGGAGCTCCGCACCAAGCTGGAAAAGGTACCGATTAAAGAGCTGCAGCAGCAGGCGCTTCCTATGGCAGTAGCAGTGAGTACGGTGGACGTCAACCTGCTGCACAGGAGGATGGGGCACGCTGGTCACACTTGAATCAAGCAGCTGGTCAAGAAGAACATGGCAGCAGGAGTGAAGGTAGCCGAGGGTGGAGAGGAAAGTCTGAAGTGCAGCACTTGCGTGGAAGCAAAGGGGAAGAGGAAGAGGAAGAGGAAGAGGACGAGGAAGAGGAATATGCTGTGACAGTCGAAAGCCTGTTGCTGACAGTTCAGGCGTTGGAAGAGCGGGTGAAGGCTCTTATGATGCGGCAGAGGGCACCCTGCTCTGGAGTCCAGATCGACCAGGGTGAACCGGATCAGCCCGATCAGGCAAACGGAGGGGCAGCAGAGAAATCTAGAGCCGAGGAAATTCCCAAAGCCGCTTCAGCTGTTGTGTCGGGCAGAAATGGTTCACTACTTGGACGTGACGAATGGGTGGGATGCGGATCTGTGCGAGTGTTGCTTTCACCGTGCAGTGAGTCCGCGAGCACAGCGAGCACTTGCCATAAAGAACCTGGAGGAATTGCGTCACCACCTGCGCAATCTGCAGCCTTGTTGCATCCCCGCAGCAGATCCCAAGCAGCAGCAGCATCATGAAATGTTTTCTCAGGAGCAGTTTGCGTGGAAGGCAGAGAGGGCGCCTCGCCTTTGCACAGAAGGGATGTTTCTCGAGTGGATGGCTGAGCCTCGTGTGGGTGTGCTCATGAACCTCGAGAAAGTCAGATCCCGCCTGCCTGCTATTTTGGATACTACAACAGTTGCTCTAGCTGCTGATGTCTCGTCTCCTGCTCCTGCTGCCCCTGTTGCTGCCCCTGCTGCTGCCCGTGCTGTTCCTGGTGCTCCTCCTGTCCCTTTGGCTTCTACAGTGTGGTCCTGCTGCTGGCGCTGCAGCAGCTGCTGGGCTGCCCTACCGCCGTGCTGTCAGCTTCTCAACGTTCCTTGTGCTTGTAGCAAGATCCCCCCGCCTTGTGACTTTATGGCAAGCACACTTGGTCTTGCGTTCGTCGGCCTGGCCAGCAATCGCCACTGAGCTGGGGGCGAGCAGGCAGAGGGAGTGTGACAACTTTGCGTCCATGCTGGTGCAGGTGCTGGGGGTGAAGGAGAGTGCTGATCTGCAGGAGGGGTTTGGGTTCTTTGTGCAGCAATTGCTGTCAGGCGGGCTGGAGAAGGCGCATGCTGAGAGGAGGGGGGGAGCTTGGGAAAGACTGCTGAGAAGGTGGATAAGGAGGGGAAACGGAAGGGGGGAGCTGAGGGGAAGGCTTTTGAGAAGGCGCATGTGGAGGGGAAGGCGTCACATGGGAAGGATGATGGGAGACACGGAGAGGAAGAGGCAGGGAGCAAGGTATAGAGATTGATAGGGTTGCTGGCAAGTGCGGGAGGGTTAGTTCGGACTTGAGCTGGAGGGAGCATCTGAAGGGGCGTGTGTGGGAGAGGTATGCGGATGGCATGGCTTGGATTCTGCAGCATTGAGGGGGGGAAGGGCGGGAGTTAAGGTGCAGCCACTGCAGTGAGGGGGCAGCAGCAGCAGCAGAAGCAGCAGTGGTGGCAGTGGCGGCAGTGACAATGGCAGAAGAAGTAGCAGCAGCAGCGTCAGCATTTCTGGCAGCAGCAGTGAGAGCAGCAGTGCTCCGAGGGGTATGCATGTGAGTGGTGTCAATGCGACCGATTTCGCCCTTGCTGTCACCCACAGTCTTATCTCAACCAGAGCACTGGAAGGATGGAAAGCTGTACTTC